CAACCAAACGTGAAGAAGCTTTATCTTCTTCTAAGAGCTTCAGACACTAATTCAGCCATGCTACGTTTCAACACCGAGGTACATGTATATTTTAATTTAATTTAATATAATATATTCGCTGCTATATATAAAAAAATATTTAATTAAATTATTATTTGCAGATAATAGGGAAGGATTTGTTCAGGGTTCTGAAAGAGAAATATGGGGGAGATAATAATTATTATTTTAATTCATTTATATCAGAAAAAATAAGAGTTGTTGCTGGAGATATTACACGTCACCATTTGGGAATCATCAATGATGATAATAATTTACTCCAAGAGATGTGGCATCAAATTGATGTTGTTGTTAATTTAGCTGCAACCACCAACTTCGACGAAAGGTTATTTCTCGTACGTCTAATATAATAAATATTGTATCGTTGGAATTCTAAAGTAACAGATCATATGAAATAATAATAAAATTCTCAAGCGGAGGAATTAATAGGTTTTATTTTGGCATGCAGATACGATGTGTCACTTGCGTTAAATACTCTCGGAGCTAAACGTGTTTTCGATTTCTGTAAGAAATGTAACAGATTAAAGGTGTTTCTTCACGTATCAACTGGTTAGTGTAGTATGATAATTAATACCGAATTAGTCCTACACTTTTATATATCAAGTTGGCTATATCTATATGTTTTCACTTTTAATTGAATTAGTGACACATGCACATCAGGATCCTGTAATGGTCCCGATCGGGATTTTGCTATTTTGGACTAAAAATTTCGGGAATTCGGATTATGGGATTTGGGGTCGGGATTAGGAGGAAATATGCTACATGATTCGGGATTTAGTTCCATCCCAGTTGCGATAATTTAATCCCTAATTACAAAAGTAATATATATGATTATTGGATGATGATATATATATTTGTTGATCATCAGCTTATGTATCTGGTGAAAAGGAGGGACTAATATTGGAAAGGCCATATAAGATGGGGGAGACACTGAATGGGACACGTGGACTAGACATTGATGAAGAGAACCAATTGGTAGATGCCACGTTGACACATCTAAATCAGAACAATTATTCACAGGAACACATTAAATCATCCATGAAAGACTTGGGAATTCAAAGGTAATTTTATTTTAAATTCATTATTATGTAATTTTATTGATCCATGGATCTATATTCATAAAATAATGTATTAATTAAATGTAAATAGAGCAAGAAAGTATGGATGGCCAAATACATATGTTTTCACAAAGGCAATGGGAGAGATGCTGTTAGGGCAGTTGGTCAAAGAAGATCAGACAGTGCCACTTGTCATCATCAGACCCACCATAGTAACTAGTACTTACAGAGAACCTTTCCCTGGTTGGGTTGAAGGCCTCAGGTAATTTTACCATTTTACCCCTCTCCGTGTATTGACGGACGTATATCACGTGTTAATATGCTCCGTTATTTGCCAGAACTATCGATAGCTTAGCCGTCGGATATGGCAAAGGAAAAATTACATGCTTCCTTGGCGATCCCAAGTCTATCGTCGATGTTGTGAGTTAAAACCTGCCCCCTGCCCCCGCCCCAAAAAAAAATAAATTAAAATAATAAATAAATAAAATCATGGCTTCGCCACTGTGTCTATGTATTGGGCTCATACTTAAAATATTTTATTTTTTAATTATTATTTTGGCAGATACCGGCGGACATGGTGGTGAATGCGATGATTGTAGCCATGGTGGCGCATGCAGATCAACGTTATAATAATAAAGACAATATTATTTACCACGTAGGATCTTCTGTCTCGAACCCAATCGAGTTCAAATGTCTTCAGGATTATGGAATAAGATACTTCGCCAAAAAACCTTGGATCGACAAAAATGGAAACCCTGTAATCGTTGGCCACGTCACTGTGCTTACTTCAATGGCTACTTTCCAACGATACATGACTCTTCGTTACTTTCTCCCTCTAAAGGTCTAATATATAATCTCGATTTCATTTTAATATATACATAAATATATAAATAATTTTATCTTGAATATTTATGCTGTTCGTACAGGGACTGGAAATAGCAAACACGGTGTGCTGCAAGTATTTCCAGGCGGTTTATCTTGAGTTGAGCAGAAAGATCAAGTTCGTGATGCGTCTGGTCGAACTTTACGCACCTTACTTGTTCTTCAAAGGATTGTAAGTATTTCGATTTTTAGTAGTTGGCGATTTGAGTATTATATTTTAATTTTTTTTGTTTTCATTTTTTTCATTTTGCAGCTACGATGATACGAACGCAGAGAAACTGAGAACGGCAGCGAACGAGAGTGGCATCGAAAATGAGACAAATATATTCTATTTCGATGCCAAGATCATTAACTGGGACGATTATTTCACGAACACTCATATTCCCGGAATAGTAAAACACGTTTTCAAGAATAATTAATTCACATATATATATATATATATATATATATATATATATATATATATATGTATATATATATATATATATGTATATATATATATATATATATGTATATATATATATATATATATATATATATATATATATATATATATATATATATATATATATATATATATGTATATATATATATATATATGTATATATATATATATATATATGTATATATATATATATATATATATATATATATATATATATATATATATATATATATATATATATATATATATGTATATGTATATGTCACACATTTTATTAGGAAACTCTCCTTATTTTTATATGCAGTTTCTTCTTGGTTGTCTTTTATCGATGTAGTTTATTTTTTCGATTTTCTGGGCCACCCGACGAAAATACAGGAAGGTATATAAAGTTGGATAAAAAACCTCAATGAATACATTTGATTACACGAAATACCCATTTTTTTTAAAATACTTCTAACCATGTCGGTCCAATTGTGAAATTTCCTCTTTCACTAGCAAAGAATGAATTTTCGTAATCTAGGAAGTATTATTACTACCATTCCTTATCAGATTACCGGAAACTTCTTCAGCGTCAATAGATCCCGATCTTGTCACACATAGCCAAGTTCTTGAAGACTCGTCGCTAATTTCTCCTGCTATAGGTACGTGCCAAGATCCCTTCTCGGATTCCTGTAACATGAGAAAAAATATGTCATAAATCAACGATAAATAAATACAGGAAAAAAAAAATTATTACCTGGATGACCAAAGAATACGAAGGTGGCATGATAAGTTTTAGACCACCCCCCTTCGTGAATGTGTATCTGACCTGCAACATGGAAAACACGTATTTTAACGGTTGTTTATAAGGCCAGTTTTTATTTTTTTAATTACTAATTTTAGATAGAAAAGAATATAAATAAAACCAATCTGAAATTTGTACCTGATGTCTTTCTTTCCATCTCGAGAAAAAGTTGCTACCGATTAGCTCAAAAATATGATCTCTCATTTCATCATTTGTTACTAGCAAACACTTCAATTTCACAGCAGCGTAAAGCCAATACCTAAGTCACGGAATTTAAAAAAAAATAAAAATGCAATAAAGTAATAAACACGACGTAGCATGCTTATACTTCAAGAAGTTTGCCATATGTTCAATAAACATGAGAAAATCAATGAAAAAAAAGGGTGACTACTTATATTCAACTTAAACTCGATAAATTGAAAAAATAAATCAAAAAAAGACGGATATTTCCAAAATAGGATTAAAGATTTACCAATCGTCATTTGATCCGTACGGCGTTCCATACAGCACTCCTTGATCCAACCATTCCTCAATCAGCTCTCTTTTAGAAGCATCCTCAAGAATCGAGCGCACACGTTTTTTGTGCATCACAACAAGTGGCCATTTTTTGCTCTTGCTATGTGTTTCTTTCACAACAGCATCAAGCTGCTCTATAAAAAACACGGGAGGCAAAAAAAATTAGCCATTGTTGTTTTTTCCTCAAATATATTACAGTTAAACCTCTACAAATTAATACAGTCGGGACTAGCAAAAATTCTATTAATTTAGCGAAATGTTAAATTATCGAACTAATAATTTAGTACGTATTTACCGAGTCGGGAGCAGAAGAAACTATTATTTAAGCGAGGTTATTAATTTATCGAGGTTCTACTACTACACACACACACACACACACACACAACCTGTGTAACACTAAAACCTCCCTCCGCAAAATTCTGCTGATACAGCCCAATATTTGCTCCATCCACCACAGTTTCGTACTCGGAATGTTTTTCCAGCCAATCCTTCAAATTTATTTCAAGAAATACGTTGATTAAAATCATCAGTTAATCACAACTCAAAAGATACGATATACCGTTTCGCATGTTGAACACGACTACCTTCTTTGTTCTTCATTGCGGAAAATAGGAATTTTAACAATGCAAAAAAAAAATTAAAAGAATATCTATCTAACCTGAAATTCCTTAAAATTCGAATGGAGTTCTCTTTCCATGGCTAAAGAAGCAACCGACTGAGCGAACTTCTCAGTTTCTTCCGTATCAGTATCAACGCAAACCAACTGCTCGTTACACGCACAGCACTGTCCATACGAGGCTATTTTCGATCTCTGTAGGGCCCACTCCCCGTTTCCGAGAAACCCTAGTCCATGCCATCCACCCCCGTTTCTCGTATTGGCTTCCCTAATACGATCACTGTCTAAACTAACTACACTCACATCAGCTGCATTTTTACCGCTAAACCAACTCTCGATAATTGCAACAGTCGACTCGTCAACCTCTCTTAGTGTTGCTCGGAGCTTATGTAAATACTCGTAAACCTTCTTCTCTTTCCCCGACTCGATACTAACCTAGAAATATGATTTTGATTGTTCAATCAATAATAGAAAGGTTACTTACTGTGTCACACTAAATTATAAATTTGCAGGTAAAATTGAACCGAATGCAAAGATCGATCACAATTCATGAAATCAATATAAAGCTGTGTAAAGGAAATTAAAATAGGGTTTCTGACCTTCAACAATGCTGCTAGTTCGGGTTCCTCCAAATGCAGCCCAACGGATTCAACATACTCCTCCACTTCGTACGCCTTGTCCGCCGCCGCCGCAGCTCCGCCGCAGAAGCAAATCAGCGCCGGGGAAAAGGTCCTGAGCTTAGGCGCAACCCCGTATTTCTTCACGCTCTTCGCGAGTTCAAACGCGTAGTCGCCGTCGCCTCTGGCGGCGGCCAGGCGGGACAGGGCGGTGAGGGTCGCCTCGTTCGGCTTGAAATTATCGCCGTCGCTGTGGTGGTGGAACAGCTTGAATCCGAATTCGATGGCGGGCTGTCGGGTTTCCGGGTCGGATAGGGAGTTGGAGCAGATGTAGAGGAAGGAATTGAGGTTGCCGAGGGTGAGGGTTGGAGAAGGGGACGATTCGTAGAGAGAGATGGCGGCGGTGAGGTCTTTCGTCTTGGAGCATTGGTCGAGTGTTGATCGGAATTGGGATTCCGGTGACAGTTTCTGCTTCTTCCGCCGTGTGTTGTGGTGGTCCATGGTGGCGGTTTCGGGAATGGGGGATTGGTGGGTGGCGTTTTTTTTCTCCGGTTGCAGCGGCGGTGTGAGGTGGGGGCGGAGAGTTATGTTTAGTTTCTATTTTCATTTTGGTTTAATTGGGTTGGGCTTGGTCGGGCTGGGCTGGGCCGGGCTTAGCTTCAGATAAATTAATTTGCATTTCAAATTTTATTTTATGTTGGGCTTTTCATTTTGTTTGAAATTTGATAATGATATATTCTGTTGGAATTCATGTTTGCAAATGATTATTTAGAAGCAGAATTTAGTGATTTTGAATTAAGTTAGTTTTAAATGTTTATTCTTAAAAGTTGGGGTATTTGCAAATATTTCGGAAAATGAACTTAAATAGAAAAAGCAAGATTAAGAGTACTTTTCAAAAAATAGCTTAAAACAAATTATTTTAAAAGAAGCAAAAACAAAAGTCGATTTTGCAATCACTTGAAAACAAATTATGAGCAAACAAAAGCTCATAATCACTTTCAAGCGTTTGCAAACATCCCCTAAGAGTAATTAGTTAGTTAGTTGTTAGATGAGTAGTTGGGGATATAATTAAGATTCCTAATCATTGTGTTATATATGAATAGATGGCATATGTTCAATTTAAGTCACATTGATAAAATTTCTTTCCTCTTAACATATTCAATTGGATAAAATTCGTATTCAAGTTGTAAAATATCTTTATAAATATTTTTATGTTAATTTGTATTTAATAATTATTTTTCCAATTTAATTATAAATTGGAATATACAAAGAATGTAATTATTTTACTAATGAATCTAAATTAATAATTTTTATTCTTATTAGACTATTTAAATCAACAAACTTGTGTAACTATATTAAATTTTATATGTATAATTTATACATCTTATCAATGAACAAATAATTACAAATATAATTTTCCAATTTTTTTTTTCAAAAACACTTGTTATATCTAATTAAAATTTACAAATATTAATTTAATTTAATTTGTATTATATCCTTGTGAATGTCCTTCAAAAAAGTCAGGACAATATGTCACCGAATCCCCATAAAAAAATATCCTTAAATACTATAATTAGTTTGTATTTTACATAGATGATGAGCCATAAAATTTGTATTTTACATAGATGATGAGCCATAAAATAAAATGAACACTGATGTACCTATTGGCCCAGCCCCATATTAACTGGGCCACAGGCCCAACTTAATATTTATTTATACAGAGGTCCAATCGCATCCAAATAAGATTGGGTCCGATAAATTGGTATCGGCCCAATCAATAAACTATAAATAGAACTTAAATTCATTTGATGGAGGTACGCTTTTATTATTCAATCATTTCTTCTACTAAAATTCTCTCGGCTATTATCGATTATCCTCACGTCTGACTTGAGCGTCGGAGGGGTTTCCGCCGGATCAACCCCTGACTTAGATTACGTGTTTTCCGTTCGCATGATTATTGAGGTAATTAAAGTGTTTCAGGACCATCTAGCTCGTGAGCACGTGACCTACTTGCTCTCTCAGCTTTAACACCCTAGGTGATTTATTTGTAACATCATCATTTTGGCGCCGTCTGAGGGAATGCAAACCAGATCACGTAGCCAGCAACATCCTCCTGAGCCATCCAATCAGAGAGAGAATGACACAGCTAACAACCTCCCAATTCGAGGAGGCTCTGGCTTGCCACCTCCTCCACGTGCTCCAGATCCGCCTCGCGAGGTTCAGGTGATTCCCCCTCGGGACCCACCACTCGCCGATCCTCCATTACATGTTTCCCGAACGGTTCAAATAACCGAGGAAGCACTTCAACGAATGATAACAGAAGCTTCTACTCGCGCCGCCACGGATGCGGTGGCGCAATACATCGCCACGATGGAAGCAAATGCTCCGCCCGCGATTCCAGCTAATGCTCCACTCACAGTGCCACCTAGAGGACAACAACCGGCCCAGAATAACGACAATCGGATAAGTGTGTCCTCATCAACCTCGGATCCACGGTCCCGGATGCAGCTATCTACCAATCACAGGGAGCCACAGCCCAGACAGCAATGCCACCATTCACCCCAACGGGGTGATGCATCTCCACGAATAGCTCATTTCCTTAATCAAGGAGAAGACGAGATAAATAGTAGAGTATCTCGCCAAAACTATTTCCCTCAAGGGAACAACCCAATTGACGGAAGAGCGCTAGTCCCAGCAAGACGCAGTCCTTTCACCATGAACATCCTCAACGAAGTATTGCCTCAAGGAGTGATAGTATCAGGCTTACCTCAGTTCGAAGGAACCACCGACCCACATGAACACATAGAGAAGTTCCACGCTATGGCAGATTTATATGGCCCCACAGATGCAACAATATGTGCAAGATGTTCCCCACCACTCTATCCAAGAGAGCCATGAATTGGTTTAATGCTCTACCCACAAGATCAATCGACACTTTCGCTCGGTTATCATTGCGTTTCACCAACCAATTCGCCATCAATAAGCAATACGCTAAAACTCCAGCACATCTTTTTTCTATCGTACAGAGAGACAATGAAACACTCCGCAACTACATCAGGCGTTTTGTGGAAGCTGTCCATGAAGTTCCCACTGTAGGACAAGACATGCTCTCAGGGATCATGCAGCAAAACCTGAAGTCGGGTAGGTTCAAAGAATCTATCGCTGGAAGACCTCCTGGCAACTTAGATGAGTTGTTAAATCGAGCTGAAAAATACATACGCATAGAGGAAGCCTCTGCCAATGCTCATCCTAAGAGAAAGAGAGAAGATGACCGCCCGGATATTCGGAGACGAGATGATTGACGTCCTCCACCCCACCTCAAGGCCAATCATCTTCATCTTATAATCGATTCACTCCACTCAACACTCGCCTCACTGAAATCCTTCATGTGATAGAAAAAAAAGGTCTGGCAGAACCTCCACGACCAATGCAGCCCAATTTGAAACAAGAAAGATCGGATCGCTATTGTCGATTCCACAAAGATAAAGGACATACTACCGATGAATGTGCACAACTCAAATTGGCGATTGAGAGGCTGATCAAGCAAGGCCACTTAGGCGAATACATTGGTAAGCCTCGAAATAAGCGTCGTGATGATCTTCCACGCCGAGATAACAATCGAGATTAACAGCAACGACGGGATGAGGGGGGTCATCGGTGCGACCCATATAACAATGATAACCAACCCACCCGGGGAGTCATTGCTTTTATCTCCGGAGGACCGGCAGGTGGCGACTCACAAAATGCGAGGCGCACCCTCGCTCGATCAGCACGTATGAATCAAGAGCATGCTTCTCCATCCGCATCTGTCTATCAAATACGAAGACCTGATCATAACATAGTCTTCAACTCCTCGGACCTTGAATGTCCCGATGAAGATCATGTCGATGCGTTGGTAATCACAGCTACAGTGGCCAACTTTTTGGTTAAGAAGATATTAGTGGACGGTGGGAGCTCAGCCGACATCATGTATCTCCATACATTCAAGCAGCTGGGCATAGATAACGCCCGGTTTAGCCCCATCACTACACCACTGAAAGGATTCACGGGAGAGAGTGTTTTATCCCATCACTACACCACTGAAAGGATTCACGGGAGAGGGTGTTTTATCCATGGGTAAGTAGAGTTACCCATTTCCTTAGGGGAAAATCCTTGTCGAGTTACGAAAATGATAAAATTCCTCATCGTCGACAAACCATCCCCTTATAACATCGTCCTAGGGAGGCCAGCAATCCATACATTCAAGTATGTGCCTTCATCTTACCACAAAAAATGGAAATTCCCTACTCCTTATGGAATGGGAGAGGTACTTGGAGATAGGCGTCTCGCTCGGGAACGTTATACAAGAGCTCTACGTAAGCCATCTAAGAGAACTAATCCTTTAGGGAGAGGAGACGACACCCCAAGACACGATAAGAGAAAATGGGTCAACGCAGTCATCGAAGCTGATAAAGAAATCTTAATCAGCGTACCTGACGACGCCACCAAGCTAGCAGCTGTTGAAGAGCTAAAATCAGTAGAACTTTTACCCGGAGATAATTCTAAGCTTCTCCGCGTCGGATATCTGATCTAGATCAAGAAGTGGAGAATCAGCTAGTTAACTTCCTTAGACACAATGAAGATGTGTTTGCTTGGAAAGCTCAAGATCTGACGGGAATTCCTCCCAAAGTAGCATTGCATCGACTAAACGTTGACAAAATATTGAAACCGGTCAAGCAACGTAAAAGGACTTTTAGTCATGAGCGCAACAAACATATCAAAGAGGAAGTTGCAAAACTCTAAGATGCAGGCCACATTAGATCGGTTAAATATCCCGAGTGGTTGTCCAATAGGTATTAGTACCTAAACCCGGAGGCAAGTGGAGGCTATGTGTAGACTTCACCGACGTCAACAAGGCATGCCCGAAGGATCCTTTTCCGTTACCAAGGATCGACCAGCTCATAGACTCAACCTCATGGTGCGAACTTCTCAGCTTCCTTGATGCATATCAAGGATACAACCAAATATTGCTCGCCCCAGAAGACCAAGAGAGAGCTAGCTTCATTACAGATCAAGGCATCTACTGCTATCGAGTCATGCCGTTCGGTCTCAAGAATGCAGGAGCTATTTACCAACGCCTGGTGAACATGATGTTCGCATACTTGATTGCTAAGAACATGGAAGTATACATTGATGACATGCTCGTCAAGAGTATTAAAGTCGCGGATCATCTAACCGATTTAAATCAATGCTTCTCCATCTTACGTAAATACAAGATGAAGCTCAATCCCCTAAAATGTTCTTTCGGGGTTTGAGGCGGAAATTTTTTAGGGTACATGATATCACAACGGGGAATTGAAGCCAACCCAGCAAAGATTGAAGCTATCATCTCCATAACTCCTCCCACATCGATCAAGAAGGTCCAACAACTTAACGGTTGTTTGGCAGCCCTAAACCGATTTATATCCCGATCAGCTGATAAATGCCTTCTTTTTTTCAAGGTATTAAGAGGTGGGAAAAAGTTTGAATGGAATGAGGTTTGCCAAAGAGCTTTCACAGAATTGAAAGCATATCTTACGTCCCCACCTCTACTAACGAAGCCCCAACCAGGATATACTCTCTTCTTATATTTGGCCTTCTAGAGCCCACTTTTTCCCCACACTACGAGTGAAAGGGAAAATGTAAAGACTACCATTAAAGCAGCCCAAGCGAGACTTACTATATCCATGTGAATTATGTCCCCTATCTCTATAAATACAAATGAATTATTCCTTTATTCCCCACTAATAATAGTGGAAGCAATAACGCATAGTCAAAAAAGGATTCTGACCGAACACTTTTGAGAAACCAAGCCAATAAATAGATTGTGATTTCGAATCGGGAAAGATTAAACACAAGCAAAATACCTACTAACGTCCCGGGGCAACGGGAACATGTAGGAATAAGAAAAATAACGCCTATTCTTGTTGAAGTTGAATCTAAAGGATCTACTGCTGGATAAATACCTTTGGCAGCTAATCCTCTTGATAGTACGGTAGTAGCATCTAAATGTGCAAATGTCGTAGCAAGGGCAGGATCGGTCAATTCGTCTGCATGTACATAAACAGCTTGAATAGACGTTATGGACCCCTCTTTGGTAGAGGTAATTCTTTCTTGTAAAGAGCCCATTTCTGTTCTCAGGGTGGGTTGATAACCGGCAGCGGAAGGCATTCTACCCAATAAGGCGGATACTTCGGATCCGGCTTGGACGAAACGGAAAATATTGTCGATAAATAGAAGTACGTCTTGTTCATTAACATCTCGGAAATATTCCGCCATCGTTAAGGCAGTCAAACCAACTCTCATACGAGCTCCCGGCGGTTCATTCATCTGGCCGTAAACTAGAGTCACTTTTGATTCTGCAATATTTTCTTCATTAATCACTCAAGATTCTTTCTGCTGATGCCATTAGCGCAGTGCTCATTCGGGATGGTGAAAAAGGTCACCAACTGATATATTATATAAGCCGAGCTCTTCAAGGCTCAGAGCACCGTTATACCAATATGGAGAAACTTGCTCCCGCCCTCGTCAATGCCGCCAGAAAGTTACGTCCATACAATCCAATCTCATCAGGTGATAGTTCTCACCAACTATCCCCTTAAACAAATATTGAGAAGTCCCGAGACTTCCGGACGATTAGCTAAATGGGCTATAGAGCTAAGTAAATATCGGGTTGAATTCAAACCACGCCCAACCATCAAAGCTCAAATTCTGGCAGACTTTGTAGTAGAGATGACTACATCGGAGGAGAGCACCTCCATACCCACTTGGACCGACAATGTCGATGGATCTTATACCACTACAGGAGGAGGCGCGGGTATTGTATTAACAAGCCCAGATGGTGATGAATTCGAGTATGCTCAGCGATTTGATTTCAAAACCTCTAATAACGAAGCCGAATATGAAGCTTTGATCGCTGGTATCCGCCTTGCTTTAGCAGCAGGAGCTCGCAAACTCATAATACATAGCGACTTCCAGTTAGTGGTCAACCAAGTCCTTGGGACCTATGAGGCCAAAAAAGAATCCATGGCAAAGTATCTTGCTCTTGCACTTACCCTCCTCTCAAAATTGGATAGCTATGAGATAAAGAAAATACCACGAGCCATTAATATTGATGCAGACAAGTTGGCTAGACTTGGTAGTTCCATGGCAAGCATTGAAAGCCGGAAAATCACCCTTCTCACGGCTTCCCAACCAGAAATAGTCTCCACTGACGGAGTGAATTAAGCTGAAGAGAACGAAACCGAATATGAAGCTTTGATCGCTGGTATCCGCCTTGCTTTAGCAGCAAGAGCTCGCAAACTCATAATACATAGCGACTCCCAGTTAGTGGTCAACCAAGTCCTTGGGACCTATGAGGCCAAAGAAGAATCCATGGCAAAGTATCTTGCTCTTGCACTTACCCTCCTCTCAAAATTGGATAGCTATGAGATAAAGCAAATACCACAAGCCATTAATATTGATGCAGACAAGTTGGCTAGACTTGGTAGTTCCATGGCAAGCATTGGAAGCCGCAAAATCACCCTTCTCACAGCTTCCCAACCAGAAATAGTCTCCACTGACGGAGTGAATTGCGCTGAAGAGAACGAACCCTGTTGGATCACCGCCATTACAAACTATCTCAAAAGCGGGGAACTTCCGACAGACATCGTCCAAGTGAAGAAAATAAAGATAAGAACGGCTCGTTTCGTAATGGTAGGTGAAGATCTCTACAATCGAGGGTTTTTCTTCCCCTATCTTAAATGCCTTAACCCATCAGCAGCAAACTATGTGCTACGGGAAGTACATGAAGGCATCTGTGGTAATCATTTAAGTGGAAGAAACTTAGCTCTCAAAATATTAAGACAAGGTTACTATTGGCCCACAATGCATGAAGATGCGAAAAGACTAGTGCAGAGATGCAAGCCTTGCCAAGAACACGCCAACATCCTTCATCTCCCAGCAGCACTGATGCAACCGATAGACAGTCCCATACCTTTCGCTCAATGGGGAGTTGACTTGGTCGGTCCTTTTCCACCAGCAACAGGAGGATGCAAGTTCCTCATTGTAGCTGTAGATTACTTCACCAAGTGAGTGGAAGCAGAACCTTTAGCTCGCATTCGAGAGGAAGATATCATCCAATTCCTCTGGAAGAACATCGTGTGTCGCTTCGGGATCCCCCGTTCCATTATTTCAGACAATGGAACCCAATTTTGTGGAGACAAAGTAAAAAGTCGGTGCCTTGGCTTATCTATTAAGCAATTCTTTACTTTGGTTGCCAACCCCCAAGCAAATGGTCAGACTG